GCGGACGATACTGTGATGTATTGTGTAGGTCCTTCCATTAAGGAGGCTGTTGTTAAATTGCAGGCTGTTTTTAATATTATTCAGACTCAGCTCTCTGAACTAAAGCTTCTTTTAACCCTCTATGTCTATGGCATACTGTTGCCCTTAGGCAACAAACCACTTTTTTCAGCCCTCTAAATATTTTTATTTTTTTAAGTACCGTAATTTTCGGACTATAAGACGCACCTGAATATAAGCCGCAGCAGCGGCATACCACTCTCGGTTCCACTTTTACTTTTGCGCGCTACCTGTCTCACTCTTTTCCGGCCTCCAGCTTTTCCTGCTGGAACCCGCCGCTTAAAGGTGGGGGTCCGCGGACCGGCCATAGAGCCCATAGAGTTAAAGGTGTTGGCCGTTAGCTGTAAAAATCCACAGATTAGCCGCACCGTTATATAAGCCGCAGCGTAGAAAAATAGGGGAAAAGGCGCGGCTTATAGTCCAAAAATTACGGTATATACAATGTCACCTGACATGCTGGTGTTCAATAAAATGAGGGAATTATATGGGTGTGGCGCAGTCCTTTCTGCAAGCAAAGCTGCAGGGGACTCAGGGCCACCACTTGGTAAGATACATTTCACTTTTTTAAAAAAGTGAAATGTATCTTACCAAGTGGTGGCCCTGAGTCCCCTGCAGCTTTGCTTGCAGAAAGGACTGCGCCACACCCATATAATTCCCTCATTTTATTGNACGCGACCGGCGTCGCGTGGCAAACAACTTCAACTTTATCAAACACACAGACTTGGCGATACACGATGCCACGTCAAATGTGTCCGTGTCAGTACACAGACAGCGGAGATAACGTGAGTGACGAGGTGAACTTATGCAATACGGGTATACCTTCAACAAACAACTTACAAATTATATTACCCTCAAGTGATCTACAGCAGTGGTTTTCAACCAGTGGTACGGGGACAAACTGTCTCGCTCTCGTAATGTCTGTCTGTCTTGCTCTCATTCTGTCTCTCGTACCACTCTCGGTTCCGCTTTTACTTTTGCGCGCTACCTGTCTCACTCTTTTCCGGCCTCCAGCTTTTCCTGCTGGAGCCCGCAGCAACCCGCCGCTTAAAGGTGGGGGGCGCGGACCGGCCATAGAGCCCATAGAGTTAAAGGTGGTGGACTGTAACCTGTAAAATCCATAGATTTAGGAGGTTCCCTAGTGGCCGTTAGCTGTAAAAATCCATAGATTAGCCGCACCGTTATATAAGCCGCAGCGTCGAAAAATGGGAAAAAAGGCGCGGCTTATAGTCCGAAAATTACGGTAGTTATTATTATATCATAGAAGATGCCTCAAGCGTCTTAGGTCTAAATTATCCATGCAACACATTTCTGACACCTCTTCCTCTTTCATTCTTCCAGTTAAGAACCAAACACCAGTGGATAAATCCAACGGCACCATTCGGATATTGTGCTGGATTATGACGATGCCCAAACACCTGGAAACTCGAACCCAGCACGTGAGAGCGACCTGGGCGAAACACTGCGACCGAGTTCTCTACATGAGCTCCGAATCCACAGATTTCCCCACCGTGGGGCTGAACGTGAGCGAGGGGAGGGAAAACCTGTACTGGAAGACCATCAGAGCGTTCCAGTTCCTCCACCAGAACCACATGCACGATATGGACTGGTTTCTGAAGGCGGACGACGACACTTTCGTGGTGATGGAGAATCTGCGCCACACGTTGTCCCGGTTCGATACGGAGAAGCCGTGGTATTTGGGAAGACGCTTTGCCCCGTTCATCAAAAAAGGCTACATGAGCGGAGGAGCCGGATATGTGCTCAGTAAAGAAGCTTTGAGACGCTTTGTCACAGGGTTCCAGACGGGGAAATGCACACACTTCTCCGACTTAGAGGACATGGCTCTGGGGAAATGTATGGAGACGATGGAGGTGGAGCTGGGAGACACCAGAGATGAGAAGGGAAGACAAACATTTCACCCGTTTCCTCTGGACCATTACGTCATCAGGACTCCTCCGAGAAGAAGGCCCTGGTATATGATCTACGACTTCTATACTCCAATAGAGGTGAGAACCACGAGAACCAGAGAGGGAGGAGCACACACATCCTTTACTCAAGTAGAAGTACACACATCCTTCACTCACGTAGAAGTACACACATCCTTCACTCAAGTAGAAGTACACACATCCTTTACTCAAGTAGAAGTACACACATCCTTTACTCAAGTAGAAGTACAGATACTCGTGTTTAAAAATACTCTGGTGAAAGTAGAAGTATGTATATGTTGTCGGGTGCGCAAACTGTATCTAGTATAAAGTACTATAAGTGTGCGAGAAAAACGAGGAACAGTACATCCAGAGTCAAGACGACTAGGATGACACAGAGTGAAGAAGTGTGTAATTGGAATGGGTTAATTCCCCCCAATACCACATCAAAATTTCCTACTTGTTTCCGAGGACAGTCTTTGTCTGCTTCATAACCTAACGCTGATTGTAAGACGATGTCTCCCCCCCGGTTCGGATAATTGAACAGGCTACCGTGGCGTCTGGCTATATGTTGTCACGACCAGCGATTGATCTCCACTAAATAACGGAAAATTCAAGAATGTTTCAATCGTTTTAGTTAGTTTACATCCTTTCACACGGACTATGACCTTGGCCGAAGAGCGTCGAGAGGTATGCCAAAGTAAGAGGAACAATCGTCGAGTTAGGACGTTTTGTCTTCGAAGTCTACTAACTCTCCCTTTTCTGCCCAGATAAAGTCGACAACACTTTCAAGTAAGCGAAAAAGAGTAGTTGATTCTAAACAATCTTTTACAAAAAGTTCAACTAACCCACGTTACAAAACCTTCACCCGAAAAATTTGTAACTATGACACACTATATAGAATGTAATATATAATCTGCGTTAATTTTGTCGTGTGCAAAATAGACACCCGGCATAATACGAAACCCCCTTAAAATACACCCAGCTAAGTTTTACAAGACGCCCCGTAGACCGGGGCCCGGCATCAAACCGGGGACCAGATGTCGTAAGTGCCCAATTTTATTCCGAGTTTGTTAGCTTAGTTGAAAAACAAGCTTTACGACCCTAGAGGTTTTTTACTTCGTCAATGCAATCTGTAACGTGGAGTTGTCCATAGACACCACAACCGCAAATCAAAACACAGGCCTACATAGACACAGACAAGCATCCGGGAGTCTACCACGCAAGTCTACGAGGTCTTTGCAGGTAACACCCCCGCCTACAACACTTTCCTGCCATGAGACTCGTCGTTTGGGCCTGGACTCTCCCTGGTATAGGTCTCCCAGCTAAGCATCGAGGAGAAGGCAGGTTTGGTGTTGACAATGAGATCACATATAAAACAAACAAGACGAAAAATATTGACTTCAGAAAGTACCAGACGTAAGAGGATTGTACCATTGTCCTGACAGAAGAGTCCAAATCCCAAATCTCGGTGTGGTGTGTGTGTGGTGTGTGTGTGTGGGGTGGTGTTGGGTGGTGTGTGTGTGTATGAGAGTGAGTGTGTGTGTGTGAGTGCGCGGTGGTGAGGGTACATAAGTAGTGAGTCCCCCTTAATGTAACTGAAGTACGTAAAGACCTCTTGAATAGGAATGGAATTGTATTGGTGTGTACGATTTGGAATGGAATGGGAGTGGTCAGAAGGGGGATTAGTTACTAAGGGAGTACGCCCTGGAGAAATACAGGGGACTCCCTCCGCCAGGGGTGGTGCACCTGACACATTTGCAAACCCAGGGGTTCCTATCATTACGGATCCGGTGTGGTGCGTGGTGTGTTGTGTGTGTGTGTGGTGCAAATACAATACCCAATAAATTGACAGACATTACTAAACCAAGTCGTTTGTTACTGCAACAATCGACCATTATAATTCACCCAGTAATAAAACTACAACACTTACTCAAGCGCAGATCAGTCCTAATTCCTCCTCACCTCATTGTTAGAATCAAACAGAATCATGTACAAAGACCATAGTCATGAAGTGAGCGAATAATAACAAGACTTGGAAAATGAAACTAAGAATGGTAAAACCTTGGGTATGGACATGAAAGAGGAAGAATGTCAAACACTGGGCGAGCACATGAACAGAGAAGAAATGTACAACTGGTCATGGACATGAAAAATGAAGAATGGCACAACTTGAGGTTTATATGGACCAGAAAATAGAAGAATGACAACTGTGTAATGGACATGAAAAGATGAAAATCGTCACAACCTTGTGTTAGGACTTGAAGAGGAAGAATTACGACCTTAGTTAGACATGAAAGATGAAGAATGTACAAACTGTGTTAGGACATAAAGAGAAGAATGTACAACTTGTGTTTATGGACTGAAAGATGAAGAATGTACAACTTGATCATGGACAGAAGATGAGAATTCACAACTTGTGGTATGGACATGAAAAGAAGCATGTACAACTGTGCATGGACATGAAAGATGAGAATACAACTGGTTTATGGACATGAAAGATGAGAATGTACAGATGTGGTTTATGCACATGAAAGAGAAGAAGGTAAACTTGGTTTATGGACATAAAATGAAGAATGTACCAACTGGTGTTATGGACTGAAAGACCAGAAGAGAGTAAGGGTTTGTCCGACCAAGGAATCAAACTTACACACAACCACCGCACTAGTAATAATAAATCTCAGTAACCACGATAACTAAACTTGGCTAGGCCATAGGTAGTAAAGGACCAAAAGATTTTTTTCTTCTCCTGGTTACGTTCAAACAGTACAACGCAACAAGTCGTACCTTTGTAAGTAATCGATTGTTACTGTAATAACAAGATATTATATATCCCTCCAGTCTGAGAAAATTTTGTTCGACGATCAATACCCAGAAAAATGACTTCATGTAAAAGTTTCAAGACAATGAACTCATTGCTCAAATCAGTTCATGCAAGATGAACAGTGGCTATAAAAATTGTNGGATATTGTTACTGCGCAATGAAAAATACTTGAATTCGTTGCCTGTTATAAATACCTTGGTATCTAGCTTGATGATTGTCTCTCTTTTAAACTTCAGGTCAATAATCTGCTTAAAAAGCTGAGGGTGAAGCTAGGTTTCTTTTTCAGAAACAAGTCCTGCTTCTCACTTGAGGCCAGGAAAAGGCTCTGTGACCTTTTTACCTGTGCTGGACTATGGTGATATGATGTATATGAATGCACCTGCCAACTACCTGAGCAAACTAGATGCTGCGTATCATAGTGCTCTGAGATTTGTCACACATTGTAAAGCAATTACTCATCACTGTACCCTGTATGCCAAGGCAGGTTTGCCTTCACTTACTGTACGGAGGCTCAGTCATTGGTACATGTTCATATATAAAGCCATGTTGGGTAAACTCCCATCTTATATCTGCTCTCTGATCTGAACATGTACCAATGACTGAGCCTCCGTACAGTAAGTGAAGGCAAACCTNTCGACTTTCGATTCGGGCACAATGGTGTGGGAGGCCGCTCTAACAGAGGATTCAGTGGCCAACGACAACGACGATGTGTTGTGTCAAATGGACCTGTATTTAGGATATTTACTGAGAAGGCATCTAGTTAAAATGTGTGCTTCATAATGAAATTCTAAGTCCTTGGCTTATAAAATGTTTATAATTATAAAACGACGGACACGTCAAATCAAGCAATTTGATAGTTCTTAGCCGTGATATAATGAGCGTATATCACGGATTGGTTCTTAGCCGTGATATAATGAGCGTATATCACGGGTAGAATTGTAGTTACTTTTCACAAGTCAGTAGGCCCTCCGGGTCGGAGAAAAAGCAACAACCGTTACAACTGTTGCATTACGTCCGTTACGAAACTAACTAACTTACACAGCTCAAGATGGAAACATTTAAGGTTAACTTCGACCTCCGGGGTGGCCTTACTATGGAGGAGTGGATTGAGCAGTGCCTATCTCCAGAAAAAAAAGCACCTAAATGACGACATGCAGAGCTACGTGAAGAGCAGGTAGACCAACTGACCGGAGAAAGTGGGGCAATATTCTCGCCACGCCAAGCAACAGCCTAGTACAGTAACCTCGTAAGCCATTCTACTGATGCTGCACAGTTTTTCAGAGGGTGCACAATAAACGGCAACATACAAATGAATGTAAATGAATAGCCAAATAATCGATCAACGCTGTCTGTCTAATATGTTCGCTAGCTGTTAGTGTTGTTGCATAGCAACCACCTCGCACTATATTTTGTGCAGAAGGCAACGGAGGGACTATTTTATTTTGAACATCATTAATGTTCGTGTCGGGCCGAACCACGCCCCTTAGCTGTGATATAATGATTGCTTAAATATAATATTCTGAAAATGGCCAGTCTGCATAAGTACTTTTTCCGTATCTGGCCATGATTGTTTTTAAATTGTACATAAATAAAAAGTACGATTGTGTTTTGTAATAGGCTACGTTTGATACTAGAATATTAGGTGAATTATTGGCAATGAGTTTTGATATCTGCTCATATTTTAAATTCTAATTATATCAGATCAAATTGACAATATTAATAGGCTACCGAAGAAAGGTTACCTACCACCAGGCTGAAGGGCAGTGTTTAACTGGACTCTCTTGTCGAATGTCGCAACCTTGTTTAACTTCCGACCACGCCCAGCCTCACGTACAGTGGTCAAAAATAAAACCACTGGAGATCAGCAAATACAACATTTAAAAGGAGAATACTCTTTGAGGTCGGCTCAACATCCATTGTTTTTCTTTCCTGTCTTTCTTCGTCTCTTTTTTACATCTCGTCTAACTATTCTCCTCTCTATGTCTATATCTCCCTTTCCAATCCCTTCGTTTTTCGGCCTCTTCCTCCACCTTTGAAATATCTCACTCACAATTTCTTGTGTAAACAAAACACTCACTGGCTCTGTCCTTGACTTTACTTCTCGTTATCCATCTTCAAGGAGAAATGCGGGGCTTAGCTGGCCAGGGGGAATCAGGTTTCATCATCCAGCCACATGAACAAAGATTGAGCTCTCCTTGCTACTGATGTTCTGAATATCATTGATGTTTATGACTAGATGCAATATTCAGGGGTAGGCTTTCTTTTTGGTCATACATCGGCAAAAGTTCATGGGACCACGTCATTACATGGAATGAAAATTAGTCTCAGGGCCATCACTGTAGAGTGGAAAAAAATAAACCATTTATCTGTGGAACGTCTGCAGCAAGGCACTTCGCTTTATAAGGAGAGAGGGGATTGGGGGCACTCTATAGCGAGAGGTAGTTGCATGCAGACAAGCAGCTAAGAGGGAGGGGAAAGCACTCACAGAGCTGAGTAGTTTGTGTGGTTCACCTCAGAGGGTTCAGGTTTACAATGGAGACAAGAAAAGTTAAATAGAAACTTCAAATTGCAGAGCTGTGGCAAAAGCAGCAGCACTCACGACATGATAAAAACACCTAAATGTCGTGTAAAAAGATCAAGTGATTTGTCATGATCCTCAGGTTCCCCTTCATAGATGGAGCAGTGGCATTTGGGAAAAGTTATGAGAGTAAGAATTTCATTATTGGGTTGAATGTTTTTCAGGTTCTGGTGATGAAATACTTTGAAGCGACTCGTTGGGTTGGTGTTGTGCTTGCTCAGTGACTCACTAAATCCCATAAGCCGCTATAGTATCTCTAACGGCCAGACCGGGGTTTCTTTAATCACACCTAGACAGTGAGTCTGTTTCATCCCACGAAGCCTTTTGCTTTGTAGTTTTGGGAAACAACAACAGAATCAATTGAGCAGCAAGGGGGACATGGCATGAGGGAGGAGAGGAGTACTTGATTGCAGAGACATGAAGTTAAATGGAAAATTAATTTGAATGAGCAAGATATACGTAACTATGTATGTACACATAGCTTGCAAGAACTATCAATGTTTAGACCTTACATTTAGGGGATTTCACCATGGAGAATTGCTAAATGGAGACAAAAGAGTGAATCAAGGGCAGCTTTAATAAACTTCAAGAATTGAGAAAGTGAAATGATAAGTTCATCCTCAGCTGAAACTAGACTATGACTCCGAAGACAGACTGAATGGAGACCAATGGGACCAAGATGAATTCCAAAGGGGAACAAAACAGGACTTAATTAAGTTTGATAAGAAATGTAACATACAGTAGAAGTTTTACCCCTCTGATAGTGACAAATAAGTAACAGTAAATGCAGTAGGTGTTTGTTGGGGGAAAGTGTTGGAGGCTTTCAAGGTGATAAGCCCTGTCAAGGCCCAGGACATTAATGAATTGGCATTACACGAAGATCAATGGTGAAGCTCTCAGGGTCTGAAAAACGACACTTAATGAAAAGGGATTACTCTCTTAAGATCAAGGTCTTCCACTTCCCTTCTTCTCCTCTGATAATTTTCCTCTACTCTTTTGTATTCTGTTGTGTTTTCTTCCTTCACTCACCCCAACCTTTTTTAAGAAAATATTCACATGTATACTTATTTTGTCAATATGACATGACGTCCTCAAGCTACTAATTTAAATGCAAAGTTTGTCTGGAAATGTGTTGTGTGTTGCTCTATAATTATGTGAGAGAAGCCCATGTAAATGGTCACATTATGTATTTATGTCTATGCACATTGATAGTGGGATTCAGCTTAAGGGAAAACTTTCTTCAAAAACTGCCTCTTGAATATTAGATTTTTTTTTTTTTACTCCCTCCGGTTGGAAATCTGGCTGTGAAAAGTTTGTTGCTTGATCTCTTTCAGGATGCCAGCATCTGTAGTTAAATGTTCACAGCATCTACAACTAATTCTAAGTCGAGGCAAACAAAACATCACAAGCTATAAAGAAACATCTCAACCATTACTGCAGTATAACACATTCCGCATATTCAGTACTGTACGTTCAAATCACTCACAGTTCCTCCACAACATGGCTGAATACCTTTTCATGTCACACTAATGCCTTAGCTACTATAAGCCTCAACCAAAGAATTGTAGCATACTTAGCATATTTAGCAATTACTCTGTGCTTTGATTTTTGTTTTGGAATGTACTGAGCATACTGAACATATGGATGAACAGTAAGGTGGATAAGCAGAAATGGTTTTGTTTCTGTGAATATGTTGAGGGGGAAGTACTCAGATATATAGAGTACAGTAATTAAATGTCCCCTTAAGCAAAGAATATAAACATGTACAACAAAATATACTTAAAGTACCAAAGGTATTCATTCAGCACAATGAATTCTTCAAAAATATCTATATATATTTTTGGTTTGCATATATTAATGCATTAATCTAATGTCTAATCTATTAATACATCCGCTTTGATGTTGCAGCTGGTCAAGGTGAAGCTTTTGTTTTCCATCTATAATGCAGTGTAGTTTGTCTATTTCACCAAGGGATCAATAAAGTGTGTCTTTAAAAGTAATCAATCAATTATTTAATGTTATTCTTCTCGTTAGGTTATTAAACAAAGGTCATGTTTATCTCATCTAATTTAACTAACCATTAGTTGTACACTTTTGCTGCTCAAGTATTTACTTTATTTAATCTGCTTACATCCATAGCTGAAATGTACAGATTGTTTTCTTCATGAGTTATTGAAATGGCCAAATGTACTTTCATATGTACACCACTGTGTTGGTATGTCAGGTCTGTGTTGTACTGTAGGTAATGTCCTCCCTTGAGGTTGTCTTTCAGCTCTGACTTCCACACAGTGGGTCCTCATCGTCTCTCAGTCCACCTACTGTCTCCTGAACTAATGAGTCACAATGCATTGCTGTTACCTCACACATTCTTCTGCCTGATTTCACATTTCGCCTTGCCTCTTTGAACCCATTAGATGAGACTGTTGAGACTCTCTGCATGTGTGTGCGTATGTGCATTTATGTTCAGGGAGCACCAAGCTCTCACCTGCTATGAATAATTGATCTTCTGAATCTAGGCCGCATGAGGTTTGTATGCGAGGCGGCAGCTGCTGCAGCAGGAGGGTACCTTACAGTTTGATTTAACAGAAACATGTAAGGCGTAGCAGGAGGTAGAGACCGCTGAATTGGAAAATGCCACCTTTCAGCGCAGGTAAACGCCTTCACTGACCTGATGGTTTCAAAGCAGAGCTATGCAGCCTCTAAATCATTAATCCACAAAAGCTTTTAGTAGCATGTCCTCAAGTCAGAATGTGCATCTCCAAGGTTAGGGATTGTCATTTTCTACACATGTCAACATGATGCAATTTTAATCAGCCGTTTCAAGTAGCTTGGTTAAACCAGGACTGAGACTTGAAATGAAAACAATGTGTGAAATAAAAGGACGAGGTGTTCTAAAGGAGGTTGTTGACATTGAGGAAAACACATCTCAGAGTTAACAAAACCCTAAGCAACACAATTGATTATCTTTAATTCCTGTTGATGAACCAAAAGCAACACAATGGCATTGCAGTACTGTAGCTCAAACAAAGTGAATATTTGTCCTGTAAAAAGGTAATATTATTCACGTTGCTGAATAAACATTGATAAATCATGCAGTGAACTGCTCTCCGTCCATGACATGGATTCTCGTGTTAGAGCTCACAGGTCTCTGAAATGATAAATTCTAAAATAGAAATGCAGAGCAGATTGAGACAAATTGTTAGGTAGCATGCTGATGGACTAATTGTAGAGTTATAACATGTTATTATATTTGTGTGTCACTGTGAGAATTCCAAAGGGAGAAAAACATATTTCTAAACTTCTGACTGCAGCACTGCTTTGGCCTACCGCTCTGCTGTTCTAAACACTGTTCATTTACTAATTCCATGGGGAGATTTCCCTATTTTGTTTGGCCCTTTCGAGAGAAACATCAAAGCACAGGGTGAGTTAAAGAGCAGCAGCCCTGGGGCTAGTAATGATTCAATGCTCAGATTCTTAAGGCAGATGCTCGTGGACACAGGGCATGTAACTGTGCTGTAGACATTTCCCCACCAAGTCCACAAAAAAACACCCTCTCTCTCCCCTCGTTCTCGATTAAGTTCTGAAGTTATTACAGTAGATCGTATATTTGTCCAAGCTATTTTTTTCAATTGCCGCTTTTCTTTCCATCTGTCTGCTCGCTGTCACAGTTTCAGCCAAACTCAGCTTCACTCTGACAGAGACACACCATGATTGGTCGCACTGCACTCTGTCATTGACATACATGCGCATGATTGAACAAGACGCAGCCATGAGACGTCCCCGGCAGACTGACAACCATCCGGCCCGCAGCTGAGAGCTATAAACTCAGCTCCAAAATCTGTTCAACAGAGAATAAGTGTGTCTCAAGTGTGAAACCGGAGGAATTGTCTGTGTGTTTGATTAGTATCCTTTGTGGAAGTCTTACGCTCAGCTTTAAATGGGCTTAGTCCAACAATAAAAAGGAAACTTAATTGAAAGCAATGAATTAAATTCAGATAATTTCATCTACATAATAAAAAAACGTATTAATTCCAATTTGATGTCCACTAAATTCAGAATTTCAATGACATTCAATGATAAAAGCCGCTGACCGGGCATGTCAATTTTCAAGGTGACGGTCTTCACAGAAGCTGATCATTTTTCTAAAGTCATTATTTAAAAGCACAACATGGAATGCCTGGCCATCTGCTCGAACAAAAAGAGCGGGCCGCCTCTTTCCCCCTACTGCGGGGTCGACACAATCCACATTAACAGCCATCAAGCCAACCACCCAATGAACAGCAGAGCAATAATACACAAAACAGACAGCTGAAACTCTTCAAGCCTGTTAAAATAACACTGCTATTTTATCATCTTCATGTTTACATTGGCCATCTGTGAGTGTACTGTAACACCCCTTCCCCCTTAAGAACCGCCATGCTCCTGTCAAGAGCCAAAATAGTTAATTAGATTGCAATTTACCATACTCCCCACATCCTATAAATGCCCTTTCATTAAGAAATAGATCCAACTGAAATTGACCACATGTTGTGATAATGAGACAGATTTACCATGCAATATAGTGCCAATTCAATTCAATTTAACATGCCTAATTGGCGTTAATATTACAATGACTATATCAGCGCCAAATAGAAGTGTGTCTAGCTTGTGTGATGACAGGGATACGAAAAACTCTTTTGAAACGGACTGTAAATATTTCTCCACATTTTAAGAGCTCCTATTATATCAAGCATCTTCAACCATGAAAGATAATTATGAGCCACTCCGGCAACAGGAATTGCATTATAAATGCTCTCTATCACCTGCTGAACTGCATATGGATGCACTTTGGATGATTTATTTGGTTTGGTGGAACCATTAGTTTAGTTTGGCCAGTGCAGTGCAATACCGCCACAGGGAGTGCAATATATTTGAATCATTTGGCTTTGTGCTGTCGTGATGAATGAATGTAGTTGGTGGCTGATAGTGTTAGTGCATTGATAGTGTGTGTGCTGTTTGTATCCGTGTTTGTGCCTCTTCTCCTTGTGTGTGCATGCACACCGTCTGGCATCTATCAGAGCTCAACAGAATGCTGTGAAGGCGTGAAGAGTAAAAGACCAGGGGGTACAGATGTGTCTGCAAATGTAAGCAAGTGATATTAGCACCTACTAGACACCCATTAAGTCTGTTAATTAAAATGCAGGTATTAAACATCTGTGGACAGCTCAGCCATCAGCCACCCCCT